AATAATGCTGAAGTTTATTAAAAATATTTACTATTATGCCAATCAAACGACCCTGTCGATACTGCAAGCATGAACGGGGATTCGTTGCTCCATCGGGAGCAATCAGACTATTTCATAATGCAAAATGATTCCATTCAACTATCAGCTTTATGCTCCCCTTTAGCATTACAACCTGCGAATGATGATATTTGTACGGATTTGGCCATCCCTAATTGATTTATCCGCAATATTCAAGTATTTGTGGCCATATACCAAAGAGCCACATGCGGACACTACTTTATAATTTTTGCCCATTCACCTATCAACTCATAAATGAGTCCTTACCAATTCGATGGGTTCATTTGACTCCTTTTATTACTTTAATGGATTTAATAGGCTTTTTAAATACCCTCAAAAAGGCGCTTCGTTTGACAGTACATTATTTCGATTAAATAGATCAAAATCCCTTAAATGCTTCCTGTCGAAGAACGAGTAAGAAATAGTTTTTATAACAGTGGTTTTATTAGGCGGTCTTTGAGATCACTTGAAGGGTTTGGAGTCCAATAAGTTACCGGCTTTAACTTTTCCATTGAAACTCTCTGTCTCTCACTAAACAGCGATACCAAGTGCTCTGAAGTATATGGTCACGGAGCATTTGCTACTACAATTTGGTGATATCGCACCAATAGCACAATGCAAGTGAATCAACCATGAAAATTGCTGACATCACTCCGCCATAAAATTGTGGAGAAACAAAGTTGTGTCAATTCCACTTGCCAATAACAGCCATTGATTCCACCACATTCGATTTCCGGCTACAACACGGCAGTACTTCGAGCTATATCCCAGACACAAACACTTACAAGCTAGAGTCTTCAAAAATAAATGGCTGCCCACTTATTTCCCTTGTAAACATTGACATTGCCAAACCGCGAGGATTAGTCGACTACATATTTTTAGTAGTCATTCGATTTGTCCGTTCACCATAGGTAAATACGTGATTCGTAGAATCCACCGAGTTTCTATCAGCAAAAACATCTGACTGGCATAAACGCCTGAAGGTTTGGAGCCAAGAAATAAGATATTCTTTGTAATTATGAGTTATCGTGTAGACGATATAGCCCTCCTGATATGAATTTGAATGCTAAAACATCTGCAAAAAGCTTCCTTCAAAATCCATTAAAATAAAAACGGTGCATAATTTTGGGTTTCTGCGAAGAGAAAACTGATACAGTATTTCGTCTATTCTTTGCACTCGAAAAGGCCATAATCACTCACATCACCGAGACAGTAACAAAATATTGGTTTGCTTCCCTGTGAGTATAATCTAGCACTACTACTACTAACTTTTTTTAAATCTTGTAAATCCGAAGTGTTTGTTTTACTGTTGTGCGAAATGCTTGTATTATTCACATCAAAGTGCAGTTTGCAGTAACCAAAAACGACAAAATTTGATGGTGTTAAAAACAGGTAGAACGGGAATCACCGTAAGTTATTTATATCGTATTGAAGGCCATTTCAATATGTCTTCGATTAGCGTTTCACACATAAACTTTAAGCGGGTTCGCTTGATTAAATAGTTGGTGATTTTTTTTGAAAATCACTTCTGACAATTATAATAGCCCTTTGTCATATTTACGCAGATACTCTAAAAAGCAGGAGCCTCAGTTACTTCAACACTGGGTGACATTTTTAAATGCCTTTCATTCCTGGACAGCTAGTGAACCATAAATTGAACCTATTTTTCGCCGATGGGCAGAAGTGAGCGTTAATTTTGCTCCCTTTTTAAGTGTGCGATAAATGCACACACTGGCTCACCCGCACAAACGAAACTAGCATTCAAAAATTTTGGTACACAGAGCACCCAGAAGCACAATAACACGAACGCATGGTTTGGTGAAAATTACTGACTAATGGCATCGGTCACGTGGCTCCTTCAGCTTGCACATATACGCAGTTCGCATACACGCATGCACGTCCACTCCCTTGGGCATCGACTGATGCTAGTGATCTAACTCCAACATCATTAACATCATCACCGTTGTCATCATCTGACCCCAACGTCAAGGCGTCACTTGTTTGCTTAGAGGTGCGTCCGTGTAAGAGGGACAACGGGAGTTTCCTCCCTTTTGTTTGTAGGGGCATATATGCGCTTACACGGTGGACGTATGGGTATCCAAAACTGTGTGCGGGGGCGGAGAGAAGAATTTGACATCACAAAAGGGACAATTTACAAACATGTTCTTTCCTCGTCTGAAGGCGCAGGTGCGCACACATGCATGGGTGTAAACAGTTCGACAAATTTGGTAACCGGCATTCTTTATTGCCTCGCACTTGCGCCATCCCCCTTCTTGGTAAAGGCTAGCGTAAAATGACATGACGAAACGCGATTTTGGAGGTTTAAAAGCCTACTAGTTTATTGTTTGCTAACCTTCCAGTTTTGTTTCTGTCCCATATTCCTCCTGCATAAATTTCTTCAACCAAGTGAAGGTTATTACTTGAGGTAATTACCTGTTGAACGTATGCTAGTGCTAAATAAATGGTCATGCCTTCTTACCATAAATGTGGTCCAGCTGTGCCCTGCTTGCCAATAATTCACAGTAGACATTAAACCATCAGGCTTTCACGACGTGTCTATCCGCTTTTCATCAAGGTTTAATAATTGCCACCAATAAATATAAAAAATTGTGCACTTTTCAAGGCCACATTGACATACCTTAAAACACCTCGTGTAGAACGGAACCTGGACCAGGTTCACAGAGGTAGTTAAAACGGCTTCTTGAAGTGCCCATTCCACTGAACTGATTTACACGAATCTTGTTTGAAAGGTGCAAGAACACAAGACGTAGCTAACTCAAAAATAACGCGATTTTTAATTTGACTTACCCTTCAGCAGCATCCTGAAATGGCAATATAAAAAATAAAAATAGGAAATTCAACCATATCTTTATATGCTGGTTTATAAAAGTAATGGTTGGGACTACTTGGGCATACGAAAGGTTAGTTATGGGTGTAACTACTTCCACTGCTGAAATTCAGGGAAACTTGTAAGCACACTTGGTCCTGGAAAGTGGGGAAAAAAACTCTTGTGAGGAACTTGTTGCAAAACAGTGCGTTTTACAACAAATGAGTTTGTTTGGATTATGTTATTACAATCTACAAATCTTAGTGGTAAAAAAAATCACTGTCGACATCAAAATTGCAGTACTAAAGCATTCGCTTAGAAATAACTTTACTGACTAAACTATATAGGCATGGATCACTAAGGACATGGGAATGGCAATGGGAGCTTGATTATCTTCATTGGACGTGGAGCATGGATCATGGGAATTACATGGATCAGCATCGCCAACGTTATCCTGCTTTGTGGATTCATGAAGTTTGTCCCAGTAGTGAAGTACTTCAGTTCTGGTGTACGATGGACAAATAAACTAAATTGCAAGAAATGAATGGTTGTTGAGTGACATAGCAGTGCATCTATACACTGAAATGTATCTAGTACAGTAGCAGTCAAGCAGTCGTCTGAAACAAACAGTACTGCAAATGACAGCTACGGCATTTCTTTTGCTAATCACGCAATAGTCATCAAAGAGGTATTTCTTAGTCACTTCAGTGCTTGATTCCCACTATTCTGTTGGTATTGCCAAAATACACCAATGAGAGTTCTGGTACCATCCCTCGGATAGCAAGAACATACATAACATACTTAATGGAAAATGACCCGCGAAGTCTCGATAGTTCGTGGTAGTATAATTTAAGGGGACTCCTTCCAACAAGGGCCCTCATTAACTCTATTTACTGTGCAAGCAAAATCTCAGATCGCATGCCCCAAAAGGATTTGTTTGAATACAGTAAATGATCACTGCAAAGGTCGACAAAGTCATCAAGTTGGGAATTCTTATAAGTTAGATGATCGTTGTGTTGAAGAATGCAATTTATTTACATGAAATAATAATTGTTATTAAGGTCCAATTACCCCACTCTGATGAATACCTCAGGTATTCACAAT